GATAAGAGGAAAGAGATGTGACTGTGGTATATTGAGGCAAAATTAAAGCAACTTTAAACCATTTTAACAGGAGATTCGGTCAGAATACCGATTACAAAGTAATGATATATTTTTGAGTAACTGAGTATAGAAACTGTGTACAAAGTGAAACACGAAATGTACAATCTTTAACTTAACAGATGTGAAATACAACCATACGTGTACTTGCTTTTATTTACGTGGGACAGTTGTTTGTATTGGATCCTACACATTAAACAATTTACCATGTACTAAAATCCATTGATTCTTATTTCACAAGGAACATGATATTCATCTAGAGTGACTAGTCCTACCAACGTGTTTGAGCATACTCATACAAACAAGGGTGAGGCTATAATCTCGATATACCACCTGAACTACCACTGAGGGACGATGCTATCACATACCTACACAACGTGTAGTATTTCAGCAGCACCACCTCCTTCACTCTGGCAGAACAGGTATTATCTACTAGAGAACAACAAAGGAACCAAATAAATGACAAATGTAGAATTAATACTACATTATTACAATAAGATAGAAACACGTGATATATTTATATACTGCACTTCCCTATTTGAGGCTCTTCCTTGATGCAGAACCTGGGCAATACCTTCCTTCTTCCCAACAATCACTACTGGAGACAACCAGGCACTCTTTGAAGACTGTGTGATTCTGTATCTTAACATATGCTGTATTTCAACACTGCTACATTCTTATTGCACCAGGGAAGCCTGCATGACAGTTGTTTAATCAAATGTACATTACCTTTATCTATGTGATGTTGTGTGACTGTTGTTCAATACAAACAGTCATTCAGCATATTCCATCGAGTCACTTACTTTCTGCTGCTACACTGAATCTAATTAATTGTCTCTGCACAATCCTCGACTTGTGATCCCATATGTGTTGGTATCCACGTATTTACTTTCAGGTGTGTCATGACAGATACGATCCTAGCATTTATGCTAGCATCAGCTTATTTTATTTCACTTACCATGCCAATGACCATCCCAACATATAGCTCCCAAGCCACCAAAGTCTTTGGAAGGAAAGATTGATCCATGTAAAGGAGAAGATAAGAGGAATGGTACAGAGTACCTGAAATGTCAATGGCAAACAAATCCAATTGATGACGTCCACAGGCCAAAAAGAGGAGGAAATGAACCTTAAGGGATAAATGAAATATGGAAGAAGAAGACAAAGGTTCAAATGGATGTAAAGTAAGGCAGTGAAGCACCACACTGACATCCCACTTTGGAGGGGCTACATGCCATAGAGGTCGACTGATCTGGAAGTAACGTAACAAGAGTGATAGGATATGGTAGGAAAAAAATTTATGGTACAGGGAAAACGAAAAGTGTAGGATAAAGCCAACCAATAACCTACAATCAAGGACACCAAAAAACCCTGACCAAATAGCCAATTGAGGAAATCCATAATATGAGGAACAGTGGGACGAACAGGTGAAAACCTGCAACCCAAAGACCAATGGCAGAAAACGTTCCACTTACACTGATAAACCTCCATGGAAGAAGGTTGAAGGGAACGTACCAAAAACAAGGCTACTTGCCATGATAAACTGGACCTCCTCACCAAGAACCAGATAAAAACCAGACATGAAGACAAAGAGTAGGAATTGTGGGATGAACTACCTAGAACAAAGGTTGACATAGCAGGGATGGAGTTGTAGAAAGAGGCAATGGTGGAGCAGATTGGATCTGGAGCAGCCCAGGAAACCACATCTTGGCTGGCCAGTAATAAGCAACCAAAAGGACTTGACTAGGAGTGGAGTGGATGATAGAAATAACCCTAGAAAGGAATCAGAGAGGAGGATACACATAAATGAATTTGTCTGTCCAATCCTGACTGAATGCTCTACAGCCAGAGCAAGTGGATGAGGTACCAGATACTAAAATAGAAGTAACTTGTTACTGATGACAGTGACAAATGCATCCAGGTGTGGAGTACCCACTAGAGTGCATAACCACTAGAAAACTTGAGGATCTATAGTCCACTCCATTGGAGAAATTTTGTTCAGGTGGAAAAGACTGTCTGTGACAAAGTTGAAAGCACCTGGAACATGACACACAATTAGATTAATACTATGCTTCTGGGCCAAAAAAAAGGAGACCTGATGTTCAACAACAAAGGGAACAAGAATGGGTGCCTCCCTGGTGATTACTGGCAAGATGAAGAAAATGATCCAAAGCCTGATGGACAGCAAGAAGTTCCAGGATATTGATATGGTAGGACCATTCGGTCACATTGACTGGAAGTAACTTGCTGCTTTGACCCATGCTCCCCAGCCATGAAGCTAAGCATTCATGCAAATTTGTAAATTTGGACGAGGGGAGGAAACAGAACCCCTATTGAAATGTGAGCCTTGTCCAACCACCAACGAAGATCATGTGCAAGGGAAAAAGAAAGGGTAATAGGAATATCCAAGGGATCCCATGTAAGGTTCCATTGGTCATTAAGAGTCCACTGAAGAGATTTCATATGAGCACGACCCATGGGGATAAGTGCCGCCATAGAGGACCATATCCCCAAAACAGATAGGACCTCACAAGCAGTAATAAAGGGAGCAGTAAGGGCATTAATGATTGCCAGCTCCATCGAAGAGGAGAAGGTTGGGCGTGACTGAGATGAGTGTTGAATCAAACACTTAAATAGATAAGACATTGAGTAGGAACAGGGAAGGATTTCTCCAACTTGATCAACCAACGGACATGAGCTGCCTCTAAAAGAAGCTGACGAGTGTTTGGGCCTGACTGAAATAAGTGTTGAATAAAACACCCAAATAGATAAGACATTGGGTAGGAACAGGGAAGGATTTCTCCAGCTTGATCAACTAACAGACATGAGATGCCTCTAAAAGAAGCTAACAAGTGTTTGGGCCTGACTGAAATAAGTGTTGAATGAGCCAACAGAAGCCAGTCATCCATGTAATGGTGGAAGTACAACCATTGAGCATGCATTAGTCTGGCAAAAGCATTGACCACCCGACAAAAAAGATATGGTGCCATAGAAAGCCCAAAAGGTAGGGTGATAAGTTGATAAACCAGCCTGTGATGAACAAGCCGAAGGTAACGTCTTGATTGATGCAATATAGGAATATGGTGATGAACATTTGAGACCTGAGGGTGAGAAATGACTCCATGATAAAACAAGGTAGTGTCCCCCAGTGACACAGCGGTATGTCTGCGGACTTACAACGCTAAAAACCGGGTTTCGATACCCGTGGTGGGCATAGCACAGATAGCCCTTGTGTAGCTTTGTGCATAATTGAAAAGAAAAACAAACAAAACAAGGTAGCACCAAGGAGGGAATGAGGCCTGACTGATCTATCACAGGCCCCCAGTCTCTGTTTTTCTTGGGGACAACAAACAGCATGGAATAAAACCCTGGAGAAGGGTGAACCACAGGTTTGATGACGTTCAGAGAGAGATGATCCTGAACTGCCTCAAACAAACACTGAAGTTGATTACAAGTCCTTTGGATAAAACCTGAAGGACCTATAGATCCCTGGTGAAGTTTTGCCATAGATGAACAAACTGGAATAAATGAGACCCCACTGGACTGGAATCCACAGGATAATCCCTGATATTGTTGTCAGCTAGACACTCTGTGTTGAATAAGATGATGAGAAGAAGATCCTCTAAATCACGAGGTGACCCAAAGAGGAGAATCCAATGTCACACAGGAGGAATAACATCAGATTTTTTAACTTTTCAAGTAGATTGAACCTGATCTGGATGAATGTTTGATTCCATTTTCTTATTTCAAAACAGCCAAATATGATTCACTTACTCAAGTTCTGTGGGAAACATTTATTAAAATAATTGGGATATTGTTGTGCTTCCTGCATGCTCCACGTAAAGTACATTAATTACAATACCTTGCAAAAGCTGGCAGTTCATCATGGCAATAGGCCATCATAAATATAGTGTGTATCTTCCCCTCTAAAGTAAATGCCAATGCTACAAGAAACAGCCCCAATGGCACATAGGTTTGCCCAAAAAGAGGATTTCACTGTTCAAAGAGCTGATGAATGTAAAAATGGACTCTCACTAGAGACAGTCTTAGAACAGACATAAACTGTAGTTGTGAAACAAAGGCAAGGATTCAAATTCGATTCAAATTCCAGCCATTATTAAAGGCAAGGATTGTGTGACATAACTAAGAATCCTAAAGCTCAAACAAAGTCCATTACTGTTGTTGAGGCTGGAAAGCTGAGGGGAATGTTTTTAATTTTAATCCACTTTTCTAAAGCTAGTATTCTTACATACGTAAAACTTTGCAACCTTGAAGGGTTAATTCACATAGAACTTAAGTTTTTCCTCTATAAGCAGAATATATAGTACTTGATATTAGATTCAATCAATTAATGATATCCATGAGATTCCAGTTATTAAATGGAAACTAAAAACTAATTTCACATGTGATGTGATGATATTTTTTGGCTTACAAGCTTCCCATTCATCCTTTAGGATTCTAGTTCAATCATCCCCATTCATGTTGATTCAGTGATAATTTTAGTTTAAAGGGAGGCAGTACCAATTTTCATCTCTTTTCAAACTCTCTTCAAATCAATTAGGACTGGTGTAGAATCCCGTAAAACTACCAATACTTCAGTTTCTCTCAGTGTCTGAATAATTATTTTTAAGAGGTTACAATATTTATACTGTTATTGATATAGAAATTTTAAAATAGTAAGAATATGGTAATATCATTAAAATTACTGAACAGGCTTTTAATAAATCCAACATATAAGTTACCAAAATGTAATAGTGCAATCATAACTGAAACTTGTAATAGATGTAGGAATCTCATGTTACTACTTGTGCCTAGTCACCTCACTAAAAACAACTGTCAACCATGGTCATTGAACTCATTACTGCATACACACAAAAATAATTTCTGCAAATAAGCATCACTATATTAATATTTGAGAAAGATTTATTTTCAATGTGTGTGCAACAAAATGACTCTCACAAAAGTGTGAAATATTAAATACCCAAAAAAAGTATGAAGTGGCAGCACTGTGTACATAATCTTTATAAGTGTTGTTTAACAAAAATGAAAACATGGTGTGATTACAAAAGTAATATAACTTAGAGCTGACATGTGAGACTTCTACCACATAATTTAGAATAAATTCAAAATAACACATTAATTACCTTTATCCACTCAAATCATAATTCTAACAAGTTAATCTATTATATTACGAAGTTGTGAACCCAATGTCATAAAACATTTATTTTTAACTGAGACTAAAAAGTTGGTATACCCTCATTTTCATTTCTTCATTAATTATCATGAGAGGTTACCAATATGAGGAACATTTAAAAACAACAACAAGAAGCTAACATTGCAGTTAAAAATAAAATAATACTTTATGAACACAATTTTGCTTCAGTAGTTTCTAATTTCTTCAGTAATTAACTATCATCACATGTTTACAATTTAAATCATACAGAAATCTTAACATTTATAACAACTGCAGTTCACTAATTTGTTTTGTTTGAAGTTTAGTATTATATTATACTAATCCTTACGATGGGTAGTCACATTGATAATATTGACAAACAGACTTGAATTACTTACATATAACTTTTAATAAATACCCCTTCTAATATAAGATCTCTGTTATTGTCACTTTTAGTCTGTTGATTTCAACAAGTTCCGAGATCACCGAGGACAAATGATTTTGCAAATGAACTTGTTTATTGTGCTAAAAGATCAATATGAAAAAAACAACAAGAAAGGCATTCACTATTATATTTCTTCCCCTTTCAATTAATAATATAAATACTGATATTTCTTCATATCACTTACATAAAACTAGAATAGTTACATCTATCATTCAAGCAAATTCACCAATACTAATAATATTTTACCAATGTGAAAAATAGTTGAGAACACAGTGGTTTGTAGTATATAATGTTCTTACAAAATATTTGGAATCACAAAAATCATATAATAAGCAGTGAACTTTTGAGAGCTGCAACTGCTTAAATTTCTAATATAATAGTGATTTTTACACCTGAACAAAATGATACTACATAGAATATAAAAATTAATAAACTAGGAGATATCTGTACACACAAACATTACAGTTGCAAAATCATATCTGAACCAGAACATAAAACAAAAACAATCAATAAATCATTCACAGTTGTTCACCACTGTGTTAATAATGTGCAACACAAAACCTTTTAAATCTGAAGATGTTTCAAGTATAATCAATATAATAGGAAAAACATAAAAAATGTCTTATTATCAACACGCTTCCATGTAGCAGGTGTTTTATAACATGTACCTAACAGACTGTAAATATTTTTGACCATTTAATATATTTCTAGTCTTATCCTAAAGCTATCATCACACAGATTAAGAACCCGTTTAATACCTGTATACATCATATAATTTTTTCTTCGGCCTATTCTCTATACATATTTTGGGTTACAGAAGCCACGACAACAAGTACTTTATTTCTTCTTTAATTATGCTCCCTGCTTTGATATTTCAGCTATTATATCACAATTAAATAAATGTTTCACCCTCATACTTCATATGAAATTTGTTGTCAAGTTTCTCCAAAGTTGCCAGAAATTAATAACAAGTGTGAACTTCAACAGAACAGATTAGTACGTTTTTCATACAACTGACACAAAACATATTGAAGTAAATTTCTAATAAAAGATCACAAAAAAAAGCAAGTAAAATAAATAAAAATAAAAACAATATCTATGGATGTTGCATGTTGGCTTTTAATTTGATTAGCAATAAAACTTAATATTAGTAATAAAAAACTTAAAACAAGAAGTTAGATCTATGGTGATAATTACTAAAAGGTTTTTGTACATTAACAAACCAATACAGTATTAAACTATGACTTCCAGATAACAACAATTTAGAAAATATGTGAGTTTCTTGATAAAATTTAATATATTATCTATTTTTATTTGATTTTTTTACCATGCTTTTTCACAATTAACATGTTTATAACAGTCAAGCCTTGAAATCACAAGAAATTTAAGTGCCATATGCTTAAAAGAACTCATAAACACAAAATAGAAAATTTAAAACATTTTTCATACAGAGATACTACATTAAAATATAAAATTATCAGGTAAAAAAATCAATTCAAACTCAGTCACAGTAAAAATCATACGATATAACTTTGTTATCCTTGTTACCTTTTTCTATATTTTAAACATGAGAACAGAGGAGAAGCAACATTTTACATTTGGTTTTTCTTATATTAGCACATATTATGAATCCTCTACTACATAAGATCAGTAGAGGATTCATAATCAAATTACTTTGTTATATTTATAAATATGCAATTCAAATAACAATTATATCTTTCAAAATTTAGGGTCACTGTATATCATTTGTGTTCTATATGCAAAAGTTAACCAGAAAACAATACATCATTGTTCTTTAAAAGATGTCATAAAAAACAACTTGATTTCTAAACTTTACACTCTGTTTACTTTTTTGTAAAGAGAGGAAAGTTTAATCAAACAATAATTTTTTTTTATTTTTAACCCTAGACTAGCAACCTAAACAGGGTCATATAGGTGATAAATCTGTGGATTAGGGCTTTTGTTCTCAGAAAAAAATTCCATCAATTTTTTTCACAGGGGAATTATTCAGTGTTCTTTGTTCTTCCTTTGACAATATTATCCATTTTATGACCAAATGTTTATTGTCTTTTTTATTTGCTATTTACTGATTAAAAGCACAGAAAACAAATGTAGAAAACTATGGAAATGCCAATATCATGCAAAGTAAAAAGTGTTTCAAGTGCAATAAATGCAGTCAATGTGAATGTTATCAGTGAATGTTAGCTCATCCATTGTTCTATTTAATAAAAACATTTTGTAAATATCATCTTATGTGCTCTGTTAGCTACTGCTCTTATTCAAATACTTCTAGTTCTTATTTACACTGAAATACAAGTTTCTGACAAAGTTTACACAAAAAATAGCAAATGCTCCTTGTCAAAACAGATCAACATTGATAACCAACTTAGAAGTTGTATCAAAATCAGTTTTTGTGCTGGTTTTGGACTCTCTATATCTGTTGTCCAAGCAACACAACAATCAAAAGTAAAAACTATGGTATTACTGGAGCTATGATTTTAAAATATATTTATCACCAGATTTTAGGGATTATGATCTGATTAAGTTGTGAATTTGTGGTTATCAAAACTGTGTACAAATTATTCTTTTTAATCCATTTGAAGGACTGATTATTTAAACTAAAACACAAACTAAAAACATGACTGTTTTAAAGAGGGAACAGTTACATAAACACAATAATAGTAATTCTAATTCAAGAGTCAGAAATTTCTTAAGAATCTCACAATTTAACCAAAAGAACTTGTGATAATTTGACAAAAAGGTAAAATGGATTTTCTATATTTTTTTAACTTCAAGGTTATATAAAAGCATCAACTATTCAGTTGCTTGCTATAATAGAAAGAAGCATTATGAAAAATAATTTATAAGAGTATAATTAGTAACAACAACAACGCATATCATAGCGCAAGAAAAATATTACAGAAAACAAAAACTGTGTATTAAACAAATATTCACCTAATCTACAAAAATTAATGTAATAACTTTATACCATGTAAATTAATTCAATAATGCTAGAATATACTGGATAAGTGTAATCAAAAATCTATTTTACTTTACCATATTTAAAAGACAGATGCAAAATAAAAAAAATTATAATATGATACACCCGGATAATTTCTTTCTCCAGCTACTTAACAAATAAAAGGCTTACTTTTACCATGTATGGTAATGTTCAACTTACAATAAAGATTGATTATTTATCAAATTTTTCTATATTTATTCTTGTTATGAAAAACCTTTAAGAGATTCAGGTGCTCAATATGACTTCACAGAAATTATGCAAAAGTTTGTATACACACATATCATCATTATCATTTATAAGTTACTGGTGTAAAGGTAAAAAATTAAAAAGTTAAATGCTATTAGTAGCCACACACTATAAGATGAATAATGTATAAAGTATCTTAACCACCCACTTTCACCTTACAATGCACAATCACACTATCGGTACTTTTGTTTGCCACCAAAGTTAAAAGTTATACTGAGGGTGTGTCTTAATCGACTGTGATGGTCCATTCTATGATTCAAGTCTCCATGATGATGTTTATGAGATTCCTGAAATAGAAAAAAATATTTAATTGGAACTCAAGAATACTTTTAACATATCTTATAATTCTGATTGTTTACATGAGGAATGTTAGTTTCATCTCTGAAGGCTAAAGTCCAGTACTACTCCAACATGACTTTTACTACGCATAATCATTTATGGCCAAGCATAAATCATGGATCAATCATACATTTCTTTAATGATTAAATTTCCCTCCATAAGTTATGGTCAGAATGTTTTATAGAAAACAACAACAACAAAAAACAATCTCCATATATTTATCATATAATTTTAGAAAATGCTTCTCTTATTTATATTGAGCACTTAGGTACAGTGCAGTTCTTTCACCTAACCAAAAATACATCAGCTAACCACAAAACAACATGGTGGACCAGTACGATTTAAAAAGCTTTAAAATACATCAGCTAACCACAAAATTACTTTGTGGTTAGCTGATGTATTTTAAAGCTTTTTAAATTTTACTGGACTACCATGTTGTTTTGTGGTTAGCTGATGTATTTTAAAGCTTTTTAAATTTTACTGGACTACCATGTTGATGGTGGTCCAGTACAACTTAATGAGCCATAAAGTACATCAGTTAACCACAAAGTAATATGGTGGTCCAGTACAACTTAATGAGCCATAAAATACATCAGTTAACCACAGAAACACATGATGGGTCAATATGACTTAATGAGCCATAAAATACATCAGTTAATCACAAAAACACATGGCAGGCCAGTACGACTTAATGAGCCATAAAATATATCAGAGAACCATAATAATACATGGCAGACCAGTATAACTTAATGAGCCATAAAATATATCAGAGAACCATAATAATACATGGCAGACCAGTATAACTTAATGAGCCATAAAATATATCAGATAACCATAACAATACAAGGCAGGCCAGTATAACTTAATGAGACATGAAATACATCAGTTAATCATAAAACACATGGCAGGCCAGTACGACTTATATGACACTACAGAGAAATCTCTATAGTAGTTTGTAGTTATGTGATGTTTAATTCAAATAATTTTGGTTCCTTGTGTCTAACCATAGTTTCACTGTATTTTAGGTCATTTTATGTATAATACTCAATTGATAAGATAGAATCAGGACAGTAAAAACTGCAATGGCTGGTAAATTTGGAATAACTTTTAAATGCAGTTTGTAGTAATGATAAATTTCAGACTGTTTTTAATGAGAAAAAAGTGATACAAACAAATAATTTACCCATTTATTTGATGAGAAAATGTACAGAATATTACACAAGGTTCAGGCAATTTCCAAGAAACTTTGCAGGTTGAAGAGGGTTGATGTACTTCATCAAGGTTAACTCTGTTTTTAAACATTACAAGTGTTTTGTACACACAAAAACAAAAAATAGATTTCATATTTACATATTTTTACTAAAGACTTGTCTGTGAATTTATGGAGTCAGAATATGACAGACTCTGACTAGTCTTAATGCAAGGTGATTTTCATATTAAGATTAAAAATACTTGTTCTCATTTTACAGTTTTCAAGTTTCATTTTCATAACTTATAGAACCTACCTATTAAATCAATTTGAAGTTTGTTTATTTTTCATCAGAACTTTATATCTTATCTGTTATCATCTCCACCCAAATAATGGTCCATTTTACTGACCTTTTAACCACCACAAAAGTATATGAAATCAATCTAAATTACTCCTTGTTTCTTTCTAGAATGACTGCATATTGTTACTGACAATTACACACCATTTATTTTTACATTCAAAGCTAATACAATTCAAATTTCCTGGTCATTTAGATTTAGTACTTTATTGCTTCTTAGAATAGCACCAAAGTGAATTATCATAGCAGGGAAGCTTTGTGTAAATACAACACCAAATTACCAGCACACTTGGGAAACTTAACATGCAGCACATGCAAAACGTTTGTGCTATTTGGTATTTTTTTATTTTCATTTTTATCTAAGCTAACAAGTTTCAAGTTTTTACATTTTACTTACTTTTACAACAATAAATAAATAATATACATGAAAAAAAAAATTTAGTACTTACAGGTGGATCTTATATGTTTTTGCTTTCAAAGTCTTGAAGTCCTGGTGAAAGTTAACCTTTTTTGTAGGAGTGTTGTTAGAACATTTTTTCAATTGTTATTTATTTTGAATATGCAATTTAGAACATAAAATATTAATATGCAACACAAAACAATGTCCTAAACTGACTATAACTTAAATGACTTTGTAACTAAGCAAAATGTGTATTAAAATATATTCCTTACATAGTCAAGGAGATCTCGGAATTAGTAAACTATAAAATTGATGCAGAATAATTCAAAACTGATCATGAGAACAAGGTAACCTTATAAGGAACCCATTACATTAAAATGTTCTCTTTCTATTGGTTATAAATAATCCAATAGCAAATGGCAGAGAGAAGTATTCACATTTTTTAAATATAACATTTATTAGAAGGGGTTTGACATGTGGGTTTCAGTTTATGGCACATAACTCATTAAAGCAGGAAGAACAGATGTTATTAATTTTCATTTCAGCTTGGAGATATCCAGTGTATAAAGGTTTAATTCTTCAGAAACTTAGAAAATGACATAATAGTAGAAAGAAATTCTAAGATGCCCAATTTGGAGTAATGAAATGTCACATGATATACAGAAATAAAGACTGAGAATATATTTAAATATTTTAAAATTAAGGAATTGAAATTTACATAATACAAAAATTGGAATTATAAACTATGTTTAAATTTGAATAACATCCAATGATTACAAAGTATTTTAATTAAATTTTAAATGTGACTCTGTAAAAAGAGGTCATAACATGTGAACTTTGACCTTCACATATCTAGAGGATTAAGGTACATACAGTAAAGGCTGAAGAACCCAGTTAACCTCAGTTTATTTCTGTGTGTAACATATCAACTTCACACAAGATCTGTACTGAAGCAGCAAATGTTTCATCAATAAATGTTCTTGGAGAATATATATCATATTTCATTTAATATAAGAAAGCACATTAAGTTATGTGCCTTTGTTCTTGAAAAAGGAAGCTTCAGATATTTTTGATGTACTAAAAAATTTGGTCACGTTGTGGTTATGTTCTTGAGGGAACAAGTTTTATATTTTCCAATGTACAGGAAATTAGTATGATTTGTGTCTGTGTTTTTATCTCATAAGATAACTTTACATCTTTCACTATACATTAAAAGGTGGAACAAGTGTAGTGAATTCTTGAGTAAGCTAGCTTCGTACATTTTATCATGCTTAGGAAAATGGATTAGAAGTTAACATTTTCCAACACTAAATGTGTATTTCTGATAAATACTTACCTCCACACACAGAGTGTGATACATCTTCCTAGCACAGATGGAAAAAGAGAGGAATAAAACAAAGGGTAAGTCTTTCCAACAGAACTCCCAGTATCCAAAAACCAGCAGCAAATAAATATCAAAGGTCCACAAAACAAACTAAATGGGCCCTACAGTCCCTGAGCCTATATATCAGTTATCTCCAAGACTGACATTACTGAAGTCTATGAATGATGCAGGGGCAGTTGAGAACAGAGGAACAGGAGGTGGGGACAGAGAGAGAAGAAGGTGTAAGAGGACAGAAGGAGGTAACAAAAGAGCTCAGGAAAAATGGGAAACCAGTGAGGATAAGGACAAACACTAGCATGTGGTCCGAACACGTGGCTCCAGAGAAACAAGCACTCCAGTAAGATCACACTGGCAGAGGAAAGGAGCCAGACAAAAGTATCAGAGATAAAAGGGAGGCAAAGGGAGGTACTTGAATAAGAAGAGTGTTTTGCCTCAACAAGGAGAAGCAACAGGTCAACCAAATATGAAGTGATAAGGCCAAGGAAGATGACCACACAACTGCAGAGAAGATAAGTTAACATGTATCCACCAAAAACCCTTCAGAAGAATGGTGAATTTCCAGGGAAAGCAGGTGAATGGAGGAAAAATAATATAAAAGGGTAGAGAGTGTAAGATGAAGTTGGGAAAATTTACATCTAAGAAAGTAAAAAAAAAAGACAGGATCTGACTCCCAGGTCTGAAGAAAAGGCTCCAGAGTTTAGGGAAAGGTAACACATTTCAATGTGATGCCCTAGCATATGAGGTAAAAATAAAAGTAGGACAAAGCATGCATGCATCATAGTTGGGAAAAAGTAATTAAATATGGACTAGTATATCTGAAGAGGAAATAAAAAACATAAAAAGTAAGAAGAAGGTAATTAAATAGTGAAGGAGAGAACGAAACTTATCTGAAAAACCCTGTCCTGAAATTATAAAAAGGTTTAGATTAAATCAAGATAGCAAACCTGGCAAAACCCCTTCTGTGACAAACGGGAAATATAGTCTGAGATATTTCAGGCTGAAGTTACTGAAATTTATAAAATAAAAATGTAGAAATAAAAGGCCACAAAATCTGCAGGTGCGGAAAATGTTGAAAAATTAAAATCCAACTATAAATATTAACAACAGTTAATGTCTTTGTAGATACTTCTACAGAAAACTGCTTATACCTGAAAAGTTCACGATAAAAAAAGACACATTTGAACGCATGAGTGCCAAATCAAGAAGTGAAGATTGAACAATCAGTATAGAGGGAATCAGTTGTGCTAGAAGGGTGTCACACTCCTATTGGTGGAGGTATGCCATCATATGCTCATTTGCATTCAATAACACAGTAATATGATGCAGAAACACGTGATCTTAGGTAGGAGTTTCAAGGCTATTGGCAAGTGACATTTGTACATATAGAGAACAGCACAGAATTGGGAAAGCTATAATGTGAGAAGAGGTAGAGTATCTTATTAGTAGCAAGTTTCCTATTCTGTTTCCATAGGATTACTGATGGGGCCAAAATTTACCCCACTGGCTGTTAACAAATATTTTTCTGAAGTATCTGTTCAACAAAACATTTGTGGCCTCATGACCCTGTTGATTACAGAGCTCATAGAATAAAAGTCAAACAGAAAAGTATAACAATAA